TTGAGAAGAGAGCTATGTTGTCTGGTAATATGCACTTTTGGAAGCATCACATGACTACTAGTAGTCTATTATCAAATTGCATGTGTTTAGTAATTAGTCCATTGTCAAATTGGAAAGAATCATAAACTCGATATGGAAAGGACTGAAAAGTATTATATATATATATAATCCTGTTAATGAAAAGTCAAGTCCATAATTCAACGGTTACAATCATTATCACAGATCAATAAAATCGTATTGAAATGATTTGAACCATTTCGCAATAAAATTTCCTCCAAAACATGAAAAGAATCACAATGAATCATTAGTAGCACAAATCTTGTGACATTTCCGATTTTTTTTTCATTAAACTTATTTTGAACTCAAAAAAAAAAAAAATCAACTTAAACTTATTTTTAACTCATTAGGGTTTTTTTATTTTTTCTATCATTAGTTAATCATAACGGACATGCATTATACATTCAACGGCCATAATAACACGCTTGGATGAAAAAGATCTAGCGAGAAAAATATGGGTGGGTAGACCCGGCCCGAGTTGAGAGACTCGGTACATTTTGGAGTTTAACTGTAATTGGCCAAATGAACTTTTGGGTTTGGCTTCTTTTTCTATCCTTCTTTTTTCCATTTTTTCTTCTAACCATTTCCGGCCACAGAAACTATACAATCAATGATAGTTAGGGCTGTCAACGAACCGAGCACTTTGCAAGCAGTTTACGAGTAGCTTGATCAAAACTTGGTTTGAATTCGGTTTTGACAGAACTCGAGCCGAATTCGAACAGCTCGATTAAATAGACGAGTCGAACACGAGTATCAAAATACTTAATCGAGAGCTCGTCGAGGCTATTCGAGCTCACTTATAAATTATTTTATTTTTATTATAAATAATATTTAATTCACAAAAACTTTTCTTTTTATTCCTTAAAAATTATTGTCCATTATAATTTGAAGATGTAATAATGGGATATACATATTTTTTATAATTTTTCAAAGAATTTTAATCATAGAACACATTGATTGTACTTGTTAAATTGAAAATGACAAATATTAAAATTTATTTGAGCTCAATATATCGAGCATTCGAGCTCCATTTTTACTGAACACAGAAACTCGAGTCAATCGAGCCGAGCGCGAACTATTCAATTTTATTTCGAGCTAAACTCAAACTTCAACTTAGTTGTTCGAACTCGAATACAAGCTCCAAAGTTTTTGTCGAACTCGAGCTCGAGTATCTAACTGTTTGGGCTTGATTCGGTTCATTGACAGCCCTAATGGTAGTACTTACTTCTAAAGAACTTTTTTTTTTTAAAAAAAAGTAATAATAAAAAAAGGAATGTAAAGCCGGCCGGCAACTGTTAGATCACGGTCCGATGAGAAGTAGTAGTAGGCCAGAAGACAAGAGTGTTATAATTAAGTGTACAACACTAATTACAAGTACTAATAACAAAACCAAAAACCCGACGAATTCTCTACTTTGCTTTGTTTTTGCTTTTTTATGCAAAATCTTTTAACTTTTTGCCTTTTTGTCTTCCCCCACATGCAATCTCTCTCTCTCTCTCTCTCACGTGAAAGAATCTAACCAACACACAAAGATAGAAATTTTATATAGAACATCACAAAATTAATTACGTAATTTCTTCTCTCTTTTTTTTTTTATATATCACTTTTAACGGCTTAGATTTTGTTCACAAAAATTAAGGACAAGTGTCACGTTTGTCCCTTTGATGATTAATGAATTTATATTACTATTACTAATCACTTTGGGGAAATGGAGGAACAAAACGACAATATTTAACATCTAAAAATTATAATGTGCACTCTTGATGCTTAGATTCGGGGGAGCTGTTTCTGATGATGCCTTTAACCCGCCAAAATAGCTCCATTGTCCAAGCCCACATTGACATCTATGCTAACAAAATGTATTTTATTGTTATTATTATTATTTTTTTACTGATTAATTAACTGAAAAAAAATTGAAGTGGGTGTTTAATTAAGATACGAAATTCTCCTTGCTTTTGATAGATTCCAACATTACCCGCATTTATCTCCAAAACCTCTCCCTTCTAAGAAGATTCCCACGTTTCCTCCTTTTTACTTTTTCTTTTTCTAGCAAAAGTTGAAGGTTAAGAAATCTTCTTAGTCCCCCAAGAGAAAATAAAAAAAAAAATTAGAAGATTAATTAATTTCTTCTTCATAAAAAGTCAATTTGCAGTATTTAATTTCTTGTTATGATCATATATATTTAATAATCATTATAGTATCAAAATGACATGTGCAAGTAATTTGCATGTATTGATCAGTTTCTTATGTTCCTGATGCTATTTGATCTGAAACCTCGTCACGTCTCATCTTTTCATTATCAGATTAACTCCATTTTTTGGAGTATAATTTTATGTAGTAATGATTAACATACTATAATAAAGTCTTACATTTTATAAAAATAAAAGGGACTTACCTCATTGAAATTAGTATTAACTTGAATGTGGTATGTATTTGTGTAATTATATTCCCTTTATCCGAAATAATTATTCAATCTGGTGATTTACTTTTAGTTTAAATTGCATTAAAAGTAAAAAAGTCTAACCGAATAATCATTTTGGAACAGAATAAGTTTTAGAAGTATGTTAATAATTATGCAACAAAAGAAAATTATTTTCTCTTTAAAAAAAGGGCTGACAACTTGACATCGATGAGGAATTCATTTATTTATTGAGTATTCACATTTTTTATATGAATTATTAATTTATCATGTAGTATTACTAATTTTCTGCTCCAAAACTGAAGAGAGAGAGAGACCAAATTTGTCGAATATTTTGGTGCTAAGACACGGTTAGAATAATGTTACTGATGGGGAATAAAAGTTAAGAATCTGTTCTTAAACGGACAAAACTGAACCAACTAGACCGACCCTTTTATATATATATATATATATATATATATATATATATATATAAAAGTGTAATGTAAACTAAATCTAACTACCCAACATGATAAAATGTAAATAATCAGTAAGATAAGTGATCCATTTAATCTACCATTGATCATATACTAGATAATATTCCTCTCCATCATCATGAGCTCTATAGTAGATAGAGGGATCAATATATTCCCTTGATCTACCCTTATCCACATCAGCTAAACATATTTAGTGGCCATATATAAATTTTTTAAGAAAAGGTCGATGCTTAAATATATTCCCTCCAACAACAATTAATACGTGGAGAATTTCTCCTCTTTTTTTTTTCCATGAAAACACAATCAGATTCGGAGGATGATGACGGGGGTGGTGGCGATAAAGTTACCGAAATGTGACAAAAGAATTATTCTTCTAGGTTTTTTTTTTTTTTTTGGTTAGATGGTTAGACTCCTACTCCACAATGTTATTCTTTTGGGAAAAAAAAAAGAAAAATTCAAGGTATATTAGGTGCTACTTAAGAGATATTTTCTTCTTTTTTGTGCTGAATATTATTCTTTTTTTTTTTGTTTTTGTTTTTTGTATAGGCCAAGGTGTTTTTCCATTGAGATAAGTCGTCTATCTTTTTATCACGACTTGATTTTGTATGTGAAAGGAGTGAGCCTTACTCTTTCAACAGATATAGATATAGTTGACTTATTTTGTTTCATCTCTTTGTTTTGTTTCCCCCAACAGAATTTCAACTATAACTATCTCGTTTTCCAACTTTTTTTTTTCTTTCAATTTTTATATATAAAGTTCCTTCACTATATCTTTTCTGATTTCTCTTCATTATTTGTATATGTTCTACCTACCACTTCCATCATGATTTGTTGTTCATAAGCGTTTACGCGAGTTTGACTTCCTAAAGGTTGTAACTAGGTTATTAGGGGGGTAATAAAAATTATTAATAATTATAGGGGTAAGTTTGATTTTCCATTAAAGATTATCTTGTTAATGATTCACGAATGACTACGCGTCACAAAGATAATTATGTAAAAAGTAAAAAAAAAAATCACTGTATTATGCGTTGAGTTAGCAATATGATGTACTAGAATATATCATTATTTGAGTGTTTCTATTACATGCATTCATTAACACGTAATTCTTTCTAATTTACTTTGTGCGTATGGAAATGCAAATATTGAATCCTATCTCAAAACTATATAATTTTTACTATTTATTTCAAAATAATTGCCGTGTTCATTATAATATACTACGATCCAAAACAAAACGTCTAAAGTTCAAAACTTGATATCTTAAAAAAAAAAACATTTACAGAAAGGTTTTAGAATTAAACAAGGAAGTTTCCCATTGTTTATTATTCACACAATCTGTGTGTACTCGGCATTAAAATTTTCAATAAAATTGTCAACCTCAATGAGCTGAAATCCAAGTTTTGGTTTCGGATAAACACGAAAAGAAAGGAGAGAGAGAGGAAGAAAAAAAACCATGATTTAGATAAGTCAAATTGCATGCAGCAAGTGTAACTTAATTGAAGAATAATAAGTAATTGTAGCTAGTAATAAAAAATTTCCATCCATTTCAATGGTGCAAGTGCCCCACTAGCCACTCCCAAGCACTAATAAGCGTACAAATACCCTTTTTTTGTTCTTAAAATTTTTAATTTCCTGAAAACAAAGCTAGAAGCCGAAAGAAAAAATAAAGAAATATACTGCTATAAAAAGAGCCCACAATATCTCACGCCTCCCCACTCAAAACAACAAAAAAATAACAGGAGGAGAAAAAGAACAAAACCATGGACTTCTCACCACCCTCCTTAAGTGATTAGCTTGGTGAAAGGAAAAAAAAAATACATTGTCAATTTCATTCATTGCTTCTAACTAATAATCTTACACAATTTAATAACGGTAAGAAGGAGTCGAATTTTTTCATAACAGCTACATTTGTACAAATATTAGAGTTACAGATGACGGTTTGTTATAATATCGATTGATATAAAAAAAAAACAGACAATATCTGTCTAGCTAACAAAAAGATCTACACATCCATACAACAGCTAAAAACTCTATGTAAATAACATGGATGCTCCCGATACAAAAAAAAAAAAAAATCTCCAACATTCGAACCAAACACCCTGGTAAAAATCTAATTCTTTAAATCACGAATTAATTACCCCCGAAAATTCACCCAATAATGAAAAAGTCAATGGTCAAATCTCATGCCCCCACCAACTCTTCCCCTCAAATAAAATAAAATAATTAAAAAAAAAAAAAAACAATTGTCACTGTTTTTCAGCTCCTCGACCAGCTTTTCTGTTTTCTCACTTTCTTGATTCTTCCTCTATATAAATTCCCTCTCCATTCCTTCAACCCAATCCCCCTCTTCCTCTTTACCTTCAATATTTTCTCTCTTCTTCCTTTTAACGTTTTCTTTTGTTTTTTCTCTCTCAAGATTTCTACATTTCTCCCAATCAAGATTCCTAGCTTCCAGCTCTGAACAATTTCCAGAAATTTCCTATAGAATATGGAGCTTACCCTGAACAATCTGGCTGCTTATAATGGCCATGGTTCTCTCTTTGAGGACGGATTTGACTGCATACCCGACCCGATTGCCCTCCTCATCTTCAGCAAAATCTCCGACATCAAGACCCTCCTCCGTTGCCGTGCCGTTTCCAAGCGCTTCAACTCGCTGGTCCCCCAGGTGGATTCCCTCCTCCTCCGTGTTGACCGGGTCATCTCCGCCACGGATTCCGACGACGACGATGGCGACTCTTTCTTCCTCACTTTCCTCCGATCCATCGTCAAGTCCTTCCACAACCTCATTTCCCCCAACAAGCAGACGGTTTTCGCCCACCAGACCCGGGCCCAGAACTCCCCGGCCCAGATCCTAAGAGGGTTTGAGAGTATCCGGAGCCTTCAAATCGAGCTTCCCTCTGGGGACCTCCGGCTGGAGAAAGGGACCACCATCAAATGGAAGGCCCATTTCGGTAAGACCCTCAAGAGCTGCGTGATTTTGGCGTTCCGTGGCGGATCTGACGCGGATGCTACCGGTGGCGGGTTGAAAATGCGGGTGGTTTGGACAATTAGCGCCTTGATTGCGGCCTCAGCCCGGCATTACATGGTGCTGGATGCGGTTAAAGAGCAAAAGGGGTTGAACAATTTGGTTGTAAAGGACAAAGACAATGAGGGTTATGTTGTGATGGATAAGATTGGATTGCAGGAGTGCAGAGAAAAGGTAGTAGATGATGAGGAACCCAACAATGACAATAATGTTGTTAGTAATAACAATAATGATAACAATAACAGGGGAGCAGGGGTTTGGTGGAAGAGTAACCGGACCACTGTGCCGGCGGTGAGGATGAGGATGAGGCATGAAGCTAAGATGGAGTTGTCAAACGGGTTGAAACTGGAAGGAGCCACACTGGTGGTGGTTCGGCCGTTGAACAGCGTTGGTGGCGGAAGTGAGGTGGAGGAGCAGAGTGGGGATGTGGCGCTGGCAATGGGAGCTTTCGGAGAGGATGAACTCTATGGTGAAGCCGTGCAGAAGCTGCTCAAAAGCAGAAGTTACATTCTTGAGATGAACTCTTTCTAAAGTAAGGAATCGCTGCTGCTGTTTTTGTACTGCACCGATGCAATTGAAACCTGTTATGTGTTCTGTTTTTTTCGGGAACTCTTTAGAGTGAGATTAGAGATGATGGAGCTTTATTTGGTCTATTATAAGATCGAATTCTTCTTGTAATTTGTATATAGCTTATATGATGAATCTCATGTTTGCTTGTTTGTAAAGATCCTGAAATTGCATCTTTCTTGTTCTTTTACAAGCATTTGCTGCAAATTTTGTTTAATTCTTGCCAAGTAAAATGAACTCATAGACTGTTGTTGAGGAAGGGTGGTTCATCATAGCTCGTTTAATCCCAAAAAGAACTAGCTCTACATATATGCATCAAGTTTGGAGTTTGTTTTGGAAATAATAAAAAGTACAGTGGAAACATGATCAGGAGATCAGAACCATGATCATGGCCAGAATCCAAAGGGAGGGAGGGACTCTTTACTGATTATTCTCTGAGGAAGGAACTTCCTGTGAGATTGTGATTTCTATAAATCTTTTAGTGGGACCAGTTTGAATCCCACTTGTGGTCTTGCCACCAATTTGAGGAGGGCACGATGTCTCTCTAATTGGATAGAGAAGACATAAGAGGGTTGATAATGATAGAAAGAGTGCATCAATGTTGTAGTTTGTGGTATTTAAATGAACATGTAGAGTACAGAGCATCTCTTCTCAATGAGTCAATGGTTTTCAATTTGGTTTACTTTACTGGATAATACATGTTGTCCCCCCAAATTGTCAATGATTATTGATTGTACTTGAGGATGAATGATCAATTTTCCAGGTTGTATATGATCATTGTGGACAAAAGTGTATTTTGTATCTTGTTCTGAAACCTTGTTCATCTTGATGATGGAGTAACTCGAAAAGGAAAAAATGCAGATGCATTCTGGTTTTCTCTGATTAGCAAAGTTTAATGCTGTATAACATTTATAACTCCCATCTTTCAGCACGAAGTTACAAAGCCATTATCCGTTGAGTATATCTCTTAATCAGGGGGGTTGATATTTACGGCGCTTCTTTCATTTAGATCCTTTCTATCCATTGGAAAAGTAACTAGGCGTATTGTCTATTTTAATTCATTTTCAACTCTTGTAAAGTGTCTTTCTTTACTACATCTAAGATAAATCGTGTTATTTTAGAATGTTGCATGTGTAGAAAGCATAGTTTTCATTTCTTTCAAAATCCCTTTTGAGAAACAAAATGCTTTTGGCTGATGTTTTTCAATGGTATCCAGCTTGAACTTGAGGAGGATTGATAATGATAGCTGTGCAATGAAGTTAATGTTGCTAAGGAATGCATAAACCAATCCAACCCGTAATTATCAGGAAAAGCAATCTACTGTACTTACTTGCTCGACTTGATATGGTGTGAACTTTAATATCCAAGTGCTTAGCTTTTTGTGTCACTTATGGCCGTAAATTGACACATACACAGTTCGTTATCATTAATCCGCTAACCCTCGAAGTGACTTTTGTAGGCCGTTTATCAAATTTTCAGTGCTAATGTAAGCAATCAGATGGAGTTCAGTCCAAATAGAGCCATCAAGTATAAAATCACAAAAGAAACAACCACACCTAAGAAAGCAGCTTAAAAGTTAAAAATAAAATGTAAAGCTCAACTGAGTTTGCCCAAAAAAATTACAGACAAAGTCGTTTCTGAATTCCTGAGCTTCTTTCTTGCACAAAAATACATATACAACACCATAGAAAAAATGAATTCCTTCATGATATTTGCAAAAGAACACAATAACACCAGATACAAAGCAACTCCTTTGTGATATTCGCAATTCAGAAGTTTAGAAGTTCACACCAGCGTAGTACTACAAAGAATTTGCTAACTGACTAGATTAACAGCACGGCATATATTAGTTTTTCATATCGGAAAGCAGAAAACTTAAAGAGCTTTCCATCTAAAGAAAAGATCCCTTCCTTTTTACAAGTACAAAGATCCACCCAAGAGTCGCCCTAAGCATGAAGTCACCTATCTCACCTCTTTGATGCATTAAGTCGCTAGTCATAATCAGGTTTCAAAGAAATAAGGAATGAAAGTATTTTTAGTAAGGCAATTAGCTTAAGAACCAGTCTCAGGAAATCCTAGATCAGAACTGCTATCACCTACCTGCATATGATTCAGTTTTCAATAGGAGCAGAAGTTTCATATCTGCACTGCTGGATAAAGCATAAATTCCCTTCCCAGATTGATTAACTCAGAAGTTTCATATCTGCATTGTCTCATGCTCGTACAGGTCAGAACAACAGATTGTATCTAAGGCTTTTGGAGTCATATGATGCTAACTTTCTGCAGCATCTCCTTTTCCAGCAGGAGATACAACAATGCTAGACAAGCCTCTAACTTAATAATATAGTCTTCAATAATGAAATCAAACCAACTAGCAATATAACAACTAATCACTGTCTCCTCAAAAGCATGTAGTGATCAAAAAAGCGGCAAGAGCAAAATGAAACTATGGCGACGTAATGGAAAATAACAAATGTACTGTCAAAACTCGACATGGTGGGAAAATCAATAACAAGCGAGGCATAAAGTATAAGATCCAGTTACCGCTACTTATCCAGAATACATTTGGAGGCAATTAACTTCCATAACATCTTAAGCACAAATCCTCAAATTAGATAAACTAGAATCACAAAATCTACGCTCCTTACTCCTGAGGCAACAGTTATGCACTTCTGGAATGACAAACTGTTTCTGTTAACTACTAGGGACTTACAAAACAGAGTCCATCAGTACATAAGTCACAAAAATCTAATCTTCAATATCTTCACTGGAAACTGAACTTTTAGGTTTAGAGATCACCTTCGCAAATGCATTCTCATAAAGCAATTTAATTTCAGGATCTTTATCTAAATTAGGGAAAACAAACCATTTAACGAACAGCTCATTGGAAGACTTGTATACTGTTGACAGACGTGGCCTTTGCTTAAGCAAGTCTTTACTTTCCAAAATATCCAAAACTCGCAGTCTCGGCTTAAGCCTCTTTTCAACGCTGCAGAGAAACACATCAGGTTCATCAGTTATGTACTCCACATCGTATTTTCCAGTATCCAGAAGAACCTTCACCACCTCCTTGATCTTTCTGTCAGAAACAGCAAATGCTTGAGGCTTTTTCTGAAACATCCATAACATTTTATCTTCTGGGATTCCCATATTCCGGAAAAGGTCCCATTTTACTTCCCAAGTAGCAGAACTCATGGATCCTAAAGTCCTGACTGCATAAATAAACATAAGGGAATTCCGATCACAACCCAACTTATCAGCCATTCCGATCCATTCCTGCATCTTTTCCGGCCTACTTAAGACAAACCTTGGACTCATAAACATAGTCCTGATAATTCTGTCTGTGCTGACCCCACAACTTCTCAATATTTTGATATTAGGAAGCAAATTCTTCTCCAGATCATTTCTCAAAAACAAGCTGCAAGCTGGCTTTGTAAGTAACTTAGCAACCTCGGAGATACTTCCCAGAATATCTTTCAATACCATAATTGAGGGTACAACTCGATTATCAACACTGCGAAAAAGGACCAGGGGGTCTAAGGTTATAATATTAGCAATATCCGGCGCCGAAATGCCTAAATACTGGAGAATTTGGAACTTGGGCTTGATAGTGTTATCAAGACTCGCAGCTAACACTCGGGGCCTCGAATTCACAAGCTTTTCTAAATGGGTTTTCGAGAAGCCATTCTCCTTCAGGAAGGACAAAACAGAATCACACTTTTCAGGGTTTTTCAATTCAGATAATACAGAGGCCGCAGACGAAACAGCCTCAGGAGCAATGCCGTGATTGCGTAGTAAATCAAAGATGCGATTAGTTTCCGTTGTGGGTTTTAATTCCGAGGTTGAATAGAACAGGACATGAGAAGAAGGGCAGTGATTGTTGAAGGGTTTTGGTGTATTTCTAACAGCATTCAAGATTAGTCGTTTGCATAACTGAAGGTTCATCTTGAATGAATGAAAAAATTCTTGAACAACGAATCAAACAAGACCAAAAAATTAAGGATTGAGATTTGAAGAAGACTGTACCGTCAAATGTAATAATGGGTTTTGCCCCCAGAGGCAAGAAGAGCTTTCTCTGCTCCAGAAATTTCCAGTACAACCTTGAATCCACTCTGGTGACGGTGGAGTTCGGGGAGAAAGATTGATAATCTCTCCGCTTAGGGTTTAACCGGTCCAAGGTTTTACAGAAATGCGGGTAAAGAATGACCCGGATTGTTCTTAAATCCGAGTTATTCAACTCGATGTAGTACCATAAATACCCTTTTACAGCATACCTTCCACTGTTTATAACTAGAAGCAATACAAACTCCCTAACTAAAAATTATTAATATTGCATTCCTCTCTATAAAAAAAATTAAATTTTATTAGTACAAATATCAAAATATGACACGGTTTTTTATTTTTTAGAATAGATGAAGTATTAATAATTGTGTCGCAAAAACATTTAAAATGATAATAATAAAACAATATGTGATTAAGGTATTCTTAAAATGAGGTGGAGGAAATAAAATGTGTTTCTGATGCTGAATATATCCTCTTTATTTCAGTTGGCAAAGGACGACCGAGGTATAACATCTAAAGCTGGACATTTTTGTTGTGTGGAAAAATATACGCTGGTGGAAAAGTGAAACTCAAATGGTAAGACTCATCTCGGATTTGATTTTGCAGCATGATTTAGGTATGGTCATAGTTGTCGAATCCAGAGGCATATCCAAATTGTAAAATTGGTATAGTGCATTATATCGAATATCATTTGGTAAAATGCGTTTTATTGATTTTATGGATATTAAAACTAAATATATTATGCAAATTTACACACGTTACTCGGTTGACTTTTCATGAACCATTAATTTAAAGGGTCGTGCTTTTGAGCGTCCTAATTTTTTCATTTGAACGTCCGAAAAAGACGTACACGCCTCTGCAAAATAGAGTTAGTTTGCAAAAAAAAAATGTATGGCGAGGGAGAAATGAGCCACCCCTTTAAAGGGTGGCGAGAAAACCTTCGCCGCATTTCGAAGGTGTGGCGCCCTTCTGGGCGCCACATTTGTGCTGGCTGGCGAGCTTTTTGCTCGCCAACCAAAAGGTGGGTGGCGCCATTTTGTGCGCCATCCACCTTACTTACTTTTTTTAAAAAAAATTTTTATTTTTATTTTATTTATTTAATTATCTTTAATTTAATTATTTTTAATGTATTTAATTAATTTATTTTATTTATTTTAATTATTAGTTTAATGAATTTATTTAATTCATGTATTTATTTAATTCATGTATGTTCTTAATTTATTTATTTATTAAAGTTTATTTATTTATTTGGTGGTTAAACAAATAATTTTAACTTAAATATTTAGAGAATATTCCTTAATTATGTAGTAAATTTTTATAAAAATTTATCATTTAGTTATGTAAAATTTTTTAAACGTAAACAAAAAATTATCATTTAATAAAAACTAAAACTTATGAATTTACTACCAAACAAATTAATTATTCATCATCAGTGCATCTAGCCGTCCTGGAAATATTTTTTTTGGAAAAAAATATAAAATTTAAAATACGTTGAAACGAAAAATTAAAAAGCATGGAAAAAAATATAAAATAATTTTATTTATTTATTTAATTTTTTAATATTTTTTAACTGCCAAATAGATAAATAAAAAATAAACTTAAATAAATAAGTAAATAAATAATTAAATAAATTAAAAAATAGAAAAAAAAATTTTAAAAAAGTAATTTCGGTGTGGCGAGCGTTTTGCTCGCCAAACCGAAGGGGGTGGCGCCAGATTTTTGCGCCACCCCCATTTTGGGGGTAATATTCCCTCTCGCCTGAGAAAATTATGCGCCACCCTTTAAGCATTTCTCCTGCGCCAGCCGTGAAAGGCTGGCGCAGTGCTCCGTCGCCTCCACCTTTTTTTTTAAAAAAAATATGAATGCAAGGGTAAAATAGTCTTTTTGAAATTTTTTAGGGCGTTCAAATGAAAAAATTAGGGCGTTCAGTAGTCTCCCAGAATTTGAAATAGCATTTAACATTGAACCAAATATAATCTTGATTCCAGGTTGGATCACTTTTTTCTATTTCCTTTTCAAGCCACCTTTACTCATAACAAATCTAAAAATTTCCATGAAGAGGATAAGTACATGACTAGAAGCCGGCTTCACTCCTCCCATAATTATTGTCCACTTTGCTCAAAAAATTTTGTCCCAAAATTATTGTCCAATTTGACTTTTTATGGATCAAGTTACACATTTGTCCTTAGTAAAAAACATTATCCATAAAATCTTAGTGGTTAAACAATTACTTATGTAGGGCTATATCCGGTTGTTTAAGGTAAAATATAGTTAAGTTTGACCAAAAATAAAATCTTTCATTTTAGTAAAACTGGACAATAATTATGGGACGGAGGGAATAGTTTGTAATTTTTTACATCGATAACCATAGATCAAATAATATATTTCAAAAAAAAAAACAACATATTTTTTAATAGACATTAGAAAGCACCCAAACCAGTCAACCACCTATCGAGTTCAAAATCACCAACACCAACACCACAACTATTTTACTGGTTATCTTTCTTCTTTTAGGAATCCTCAAAGTAATAAAAACTTGGTGGACATATATGCCTTGCAAATCTCTTTTATGTAATGGTATAAGACTCTCCTTTTCGGAGGATCCTCTGATACTGGTTTGATGAAACTCTTGACAGCAATTAATAAAAACTGAAAAATGCACAGGGAAAAAAAAACACAAAATAAAAGGAGAAAATGATAGAACAAAGCTGGTAGACAGCTAATATCCCATTATATATAGCTTAAATACGATAATCACTCGCCTCCAGATCTTACAATTCACCGATGGAATTTGGAAATAAGATTAGATTAGCTACGATAACGTCAAGATACTACGACTAGGAAGATGACCCTACCATAATTAACAGACACGATAACTACAATAATATCCAGATATAACATAATTTTTCATGGACCCAAAGCCCTAGTTTCCACCGAGTAGGTACCAACCCTAATTGCCGCCACCGTTCCCATTGCCCTTGCCGTTGCCCTTGAATTTCCCGTTGTCGTTGTCGTTGCCGTAGCCGTAGCCGTAGCCGCAGCCCTTTCCCGGGTGCCTGACAGATAAAACAGAGAGGAAACGAAATTTAAGAAAAGATTGGAGCTTTAACAAGAAAACAAAAAGGTTGGAGCTCTATCAAGAAAATAAATAAACGAAAGACAAACAAAATATAAAGATTTGAGCAGAGAGGAGAGACGTACAAAAACCCGGCTGCCCCGAGTTTGACATTAGTATAGAACACCCCAGCAAGAATCCCAAAATACAGCATCTGACCAATGGCAGATCCAACCGATGGCATGATGAACTAAGATTCCAACGCAAGATTATTTAAACCGAAGGGCTGATTTTTTTGTAGACGAAAACAGAAATATTAGGAAATATCAAGAGATAGCCCGCTTAAACGAGACATACGCTCTCTGATGGTGAGGTTATTTTATATATGGTGACAAGACCACCGAATCCTAATTGGGTTTTGTATCCATTAACCCACCCGTCTTGCGGACTACACCATAAAGTCTATTCGCTGTAATTGATGATTGGGATTGACGTCCGGGCTTTTTTTTTTTCTTTTATATATACTGAGGAAGCTTTACGTTTAGGAATTACAAAGCCGCTTCAAAGGGGAAGCGGGCTGTCAAAAGCTAATTTTTCTACGATACTATCCGGGGCGTTGACAAAATATGAACACCCGAGTTGTAAGATAATCCTAATTTTGCTAAAGAGTCCGCTACTTCATTCTCCCCTCTTTTAATATACAAAATGTCTACTTGCCAATGCTAATTAAGGATGGATCTGATTCTTGGAAGGAGGTTGCTAACTATAGCCGGAGATTCATCATCTTCATTTAGGTTCTTAACGGCTTGGAGAGTGTCTATTTGTAATTGGATTTTTCTGAATCCCAGTTGGCACGCAATTTTGAGTCCCCAATATACTCCCCAAAATTTTGTTTCGAGGACCGAACAAGATCCAATCTTTGGTGTGAAATGAGAGATCCAACGTCCATCATGATCCCGAAGAACTCCACCAGCAGCAGCTAACTTGGTGGGGGAAGTGACTGCTCCATTTGAGTTAAGGCATATCCATGGCCACTGAGGAAGCCTTCAGCAAGGAGTTGGGCAAAAATGGGCGTTAGAAGAAACTTTTCTGCCTTCGTCCACTGGGGAAGTGACGTCCAGGCTTATCTGGACGTTTTTTACGTAATGGGCTTGGAACCTCGTCCGGATCATGAGGTCCAACATTTAGGATGCGGATTTGGATCCGGTTAAGTATTTAAATCAGCCCATTAAATTAAATGTATAATTTTAAAATGTTAACAGACCTTTGGGCTAAAACTGAGAAAGTATACAATTTTCTTTTAGACTATTACTTGATGTTAAACCCATGTGATGCACGGGATTTATCTAAACACAATATGGTAAAATCATTGAAAAAATAAAAAAGTGACAACACAAATAATCTTAATGAGTTGTGATGGTATAGATAATATGACTATATAAGACGTACTTACAAATATCAAAATATAAATTTGTATGTAATGTCAAATTAAATATTGTGCAAATTGTGAAAGAGTTTAATCTTAATGGTGATGAAAGTAGATGTCATATTATGTTTTATAGTGGTACGAAAAAAACTAAACAAATTAATATTGTACTTAGATTGTATTAATTAAATTTATAAGGACTTTATTTGTTATTACACAAGGTTCTTTTATGTTGAATTTATAGAATAATATCACATAAGATTTCTCTAGGAATGATTAATCAGTTTCTCTCTCTGATTTCTCCTTTATAATATACTAGTGTAACGTGCGGGGTGTTAAATAATAACATCAATGATATAAAATGTATTGTGTAATTTTTAACGTCAATGTGTTTGTTATTTTAAATACATAAGAATAATTTTTATTGTAACTTGTTGTTCATCTTTTTTCGTTTTGCTGATTTATGGATTTATATCTTTTAAAAGTATTTTCTTAATTTTCATCATGATCTCTCTAAATATTTCTACCCGTGTCATATTTTTTAAACTCTCCCTCAACCAAATTTTTGTTTCATCTCTCTATTTACCTTATGCAACCTTTATTTAGAAGTTTGTTCGTTAATTTTTCCTATAATATAGTGTTTACTTTTTTTTTTTTTTTGGAAAAGGAA